AACTTGTATCGACAAATGGTGTCACCCCTGTACCATATAGTGACCATGTTTCCCATCGCAATTTCAATCAATATTGCCCAGTACCAATGGGATTCAACAAAGACTGTCTATCACAGTCATATCGCACTGGTAACTGTATCTATTGGATAGTAGAGTACTTCACCCAAAGTGACCGTAACTACGTCAGTCTCTACAACATAATCATATGTCTAATCTGCTGCAGCCTACGTACCCCCCGTACGGTTGGTGATCTTTTTGCTTTCTTCCTCTATGCTGGGTATTACATGGATAATGGTCTCGACACTGCAATCAAACAAAAAATGAAAGATTTCCCCGTTGACTACAGCACTGAATCCAAAGAGTTTACTACCGCTTTCAAAAAACTAGTTGGTGAAACCCATACCGGTGGAAAGCACACTCCTGAGGCCGACCTCCGCAGCCTCTACGACAGTGAATGTGACAACAAAAGCAATGGCAAAACCTGTGGCCAATACCTCCAATCGCTCTCCTATAGTATCTATTGCAATATTTCTACAACTTTCGCTAAGTCCTATCTATCACGTATTGTCTATCTAACGGATGTCCTCAAAGATGGTCTTGAAGAGTTACTTACAGAGTTCAAGAATCTTAAATGTGAACATTGCAAAAATGCTAATCACCAACGGTGTCAATCCAATTGCCACTCCACCAACCAATGTTCTTGTGAAACCATCGTCCAATGCGCTGACGTCCTACCCCTTTTCTTCAAATTCGGCTTCACGTACTATTCCGCAGCTGCATTAAATGGAACCGATGGTGTCCCTGGCAAAAAACGCAAATGCAAAGCCTTCTACGATGAACTCAAAAATCTCCTCGACGTGAATAAAAAAGGCAAACCATTCAGCGACCTCCTCTCAGCCATCAACACATTTCTCCTATGCATCCGCCAACCCTTCCTATTGTACCTCCTAACATTCTGGCTTGTGGCCATTCTATACTTCAGCTACGGTCTAACAATACCTCTGGACCTGTTCCACATTCGTTCACATTGGAGACGCGGTTTGTCCCATCAAATATCCGTGTTGGCGTTATTATCGAAGAAGGGACTGTCACCAACAAAGGTTGCGCATTTTACACCATAAGATGTCATCACATATCAATCTAATGTTATCAAATCTTCGTTTGTATGTATTAGGCAGATTGATGGTTTCACAAAAATTTCATGTTCTACACCCCCTTCCGCATGCACGGCACAGATATTCAGATAAAGTGTGTGGCTAGCTACCCCATCGAAGATGTGTGGAGAAACACACTACATGGTAGACACCGTAGTGAAGATGAAGACATACAAATAGAACCGTAGGTGAAGTCTGTTGTTGTGTTAAGGCGGAAGACGCCGAGGTTGGATACAATCTATTATGACACTATCGC